TTTTTTCCATATAACTTAACCCTTCCATGAAAACTACTTCACGATCCTTAGCTGACTTCAAAACAAACAGATCGTTTGTGGGCAAATATCTGGAAATCCTATTCAAGCCATAAGATCTATTCAGAATAAATGCTGGTCAGAATACGGAGTCGCTTCTCTTTCTCACCTGTCAAATTAATTAGTCCACCCAGTAGCTCCATGAGCTGATTTCTTATTTATACCTCTTTCCAAGAAGAGCTTAACACTATATTATATAAGTATGCTGGATAAATTACTGACCTTATTTTTGGTAGAACAAATGCATTACGTTTATTTATCTCCTTATTGTAGCTATATTATTATCTAAGTCGCTTTTAATGGCTTGATTTCTTATCATGTCGGCATCCTTAAATCTTATCCATCCTTTCCACTAGACAATCCGTCATAGTCTGTAATTTAAGAAAATCTTCTTGGGAAAGTAGCAGATAAAAGAGATGTCTGGTCCTGCCTTGGGTTTGAATCACGTCATGTGATTTGTCTATACTTTCCTTTAGTCCTTTTTTAACCAAACTATTTAATACATCTTCCAGTTCTCTAGTAGTGCGAATAGGTAAATCTGGGCGCTTACCAAGATAAAATATCATCTGTTACATATAAGGATACGAAGGCCAGTTGAAGTAAATGACTGTTTTCCCCTCATTAAATACTCTATCCAAGAGTTCTAACTGACGCTACATATCAACTTAAGAGTGACTAAACACCTTCGGGAGATTAAAGTTATGGACAACAATTGCTTATCTTCTCTCTATTATTTGAGCGGCTTCCTTTTGTCTCCGATTTTTGCTGTGCCAGACATTTATAAAGTCGGTTAACATCTCTTTCACCCTAGATTAGCTCCAGCTATCATCTTAAATGGAATTCGGGTCTAAGACATGCGCATTAATGTGACCCTAGCGCGCATATATATATATATATATATATATACGTGTGTGTTCAAATGAGGAAAAGCTGGGTGTTGTAGAACCTTTACAAGATTTCATGCCATTGGACCTTTCATTTCTAATAAAAACTTAAACCATATTCCTCCCTTGCTTTCAGGTGATAACAACTTAAGAATCCCTTCTGCCCAACTTTTAAAACCAAATGAGAGGTTCATTGACTGGGTAAATAAACTTTGTTACACATTAATAAAATCTGGATTCCCAAGAATCCCTTAATTCATTGATGCTGGCCAGTGGAAGGGATTCGCGATCCCTGGGCGGTGCACTTTGGAGTTATTCACAATTCCAATACAATTCTTCGGCTTCCTTTGAGGCCAAATAAAGAATCCATCGTACACGCCTCTTTAAACGAATTGAAAGGTACGAAGAGTAACTGGATTTCGATTAACCTCTTAAGATAAAAGTGGTGGAGAGACTTTCATTTCGCATAAAAGTACATGAAGAAGAGATTCGAGGGTCGATCTCATCAGAGGACGACGGTTGATTCCAGTGTTGACCTAGTGTTTAATTGAGACCTACAAGGATGAGTTCCAGTTCAGATGATTTCCATCATATGTTAGACGAAAGCCTATCCCGTTTTCACCCGAAAATAGTATGTATAGTGGACTGCGTCAACCTGAACGGATGACGTACAACAGGAATGGCAGTCTTCTCATGAGATCGATCTTCCAATCTTTTCTTCATGCATTTTCATACTAAATTA